AGCAGGAGCTTAGGGCCTTTGTTGTCTTTGTTTGGTTCCATATAGTGTTTAGCGCCATCTTGGGAGACGCCCTTCTGACTGTTCCTGTGCCTTTCATGTAACATATGAAAGAACAACTAGAGGATTATCTAATAGCTTTGTACAAAATAGCTTTGGGCTGGGCTCAGTGTCTCATGCCTGTAATCCCTGCACTTTGGGAGGTGGAGGCAAGAGGATTGCCTGAGCCCAGGGGTTCAAGACCAACATGGGCAACTTGATGAGACCTTGTCTCTATAGTAAATCAAAAAATTAGCTAGACATGATGGTATGCACCTGTGGTTCCAGCTACTTGGAAATCTGAGGTGGAAGGATCACCTGAGACTAGTAGGTTGAGGCTGTGGTGGCCGTGAGCATACCAATGTACTCTAGCCTGGGCAACAGAGTGAGACTCCAACTTAAAAAAAAAATTGCCTTGTACATATTATTTTTATGTAGCTTATAAGCTCCCTGTTGTCCCTCTCCCCTGTGAAGGCAAATGGTCTTAAATCTTATCATGGGAGGTTTTTAGGTTAAAAATAAAGGACTACTAGGCCGGATGCAGTGGCTCACATTTGTAATCCCAGCACTTTGGGAAGTCAAGTTGGGAGGATCACTTAAGGCCAGGAGTTCAAGACCAGCCCAGGCAGCATAGTAAGATTCCATCTCTACAAAAAATAAAAATAAACAAATAAATAAAGGACTTTTAAACTGTATTTCCTGTTAGATGGTGAAACTGGGCAAGTCATAGAATCTTGTTCTCCATTATCTTTTAGAATAGTGAAGATTCTCAGACGTCAGGAAAGGTTTAAGACTTACCTTAGCTGGAAGCAAGAAAATATAGGAGATGATCTTTGGTGGACTTTTCAAAAATTGTATTTCTGAGTATTAGTCTACCTTGCTTTAAAGTTGCTGGCATTATTAGCTACCTCCATTTCCTAGGTTCAGATGAAGTGACTAATATGGGAATGGAAGTGGTTGCCACTTTAGTTGGTGTCTTTTGTTTCTCCCTTAAAAACAGTAATTTGCATTTCTATTGTGTGCTAACTTATGCCTACAGTAGACATTAGTGTTAAGTGATGAAGCATAATGAGACTTACTACATGGATAAAGTACATTTACTTTTCCAGTGACCCCTGGCTGGTGTCAGGAAAAGGTTCAAAAGGGTAAGAAATCACAAAATGATAAGAGTTCAGGGCTAAAGATGGAGCTTCTAGATCTAAACTTAGATGCAGTGAGAAGCAGTCAGAGTGCACATTAGAAGACAGAGTTTGGTATTTACAGAAGCCAGAACTTTATTTTTCCTGTGGAAATATTTGAATGCCAAATGAGCTATCAGTGTTTCTCCTGCATATTAGAAAGCTGGTGAACTAGTTATAAATGAATAAGAAAAGTATTGATACATGAAAACTGACCCAAGAAGAAACAGCCTCCTTTCAGACCCAAATTTATGTCATTTTCTTTTTGTACCATTAAGCAACATTCTAATAATATCTGGCTTATTTTCAATTTGTTGCATTTTTAAAAATTCTTATTTATTCATTGATTTTTTTGGTACTTTTATTTTGTTGTTGTGTTAGATATAACCATCTTTCCGTTTATATTTGCTCACTTTATTAATTTTGGGGAGGACTTAAAGGGTCAAACTGTACCTGTTTTTAATGAGTTATAGGTTATTAATTAGGATTAAAATTGCTATTTCAAAAATATTAATGTATAATAGCTGACTATAACTATTTTAATGTGAGGGCCCCCCCAATTCAATTAAAATATAATAATATAAAATGCTTTTATAGTATGCTTTTTATATTAATAATTGTTATTACTCTGTGGCTTCCCTGTAAATACCAATGACTACATCCAAACTAGTTACCAGTAATACCTAAAAAAAATCAAGAAATATTATTATTATTATATATTATTAATTGACACCAGTGCCTGGTTATAAATGTATTTTTAGACAAAATTTTTTTGCAGACTTTTTATTTGTAGATGTTGTTTTTGTTTTTCTTTTACAGTCTAACAGTATATTTTCTGTTTTGAAGTTGGTGATATATGCGGGGCCTAACACAAACAGTAGGAAGGTTGCTGAATATGGAGGCAATACACTGGGATATGGCAGCCGTAGTGTCTTAGGAACTGGTTGGCCGAAAGACTTGGTGAAGGTATGGTATCCAGTCATACTCACTTCCTAGAAAAGAAAAATGAATTCGCAATCCTTGTGGCCCAAGTACTAACTGTAACCCCAGAAAAAACTTGCCATAAGAGCTTTTGTTGAGGTGGGACCACCTTGCCAGGCCTATCAAGTCACTCCTATTCAGAATGACCCTCCTTCCACTTGTAGGACATTGGACCCCTATTCAGAGCCATCCCTTTTACAGATTACTCCATGGACAGAGGTTGTCACAGCATTTTCTTCCCTGTGCATGAGAAGTGTTGCTAGTTTTTCCAGCTTACTTCTCTAGACTTCCTTATGACAAGTAACCTAGAACCATAGGGCCATTGAGGTTTAAAAGTGTTGAGTTAGCCGGGCTTGGTGGCTCAGCCTGTAATCCTGCGCCTTTGGGAGGCTG